CTTGAGTAAGATACTGGAGAAGCTAGCATGTAGTAGACTAAATTCCTTCTGCAATGCCAAAAACATCTTTACAGACTCTCAGTTTGGATTTAGAACTAGAAGGTCGACTGAGAGTGCTCTGCTATACTTTACTAATGACATCTTAAATTCCTTTGATTACAGTCAGTTCACAGTCGGTATATTCTTGGACCTCTCTAAAGCCTTCGATACTGTCGACCATACCATCCTCTTTTCAAACCTTGAACATTACGGCGTTAGGGGCCTGTCCCACAATTGGTTTACCTAATATCTGTCCAACAGGATGCAGTATGTCTGCTATAATAGTCACCAATCTGACTCCTAGCCCAAGGTTCCATTCTCGGTCCAGTACTGTTTTTGTTGTACATAAGCGACATAGGTTACGCCAGCACACTCATAAAATACAACTTATTTGCAGACGATGGTAACTTCTATGCCAGTAACTCAGACCTACTTTCCTTGATGAAAACTATGAACACTACACGATCTTTCACAGAAGAAAAAACTTACCCCCAGATTTGGACCCCCCTGTACCTTGGTAATACAGTCCTCAAACGCAAACAAAATACCAAATTCCTTTGAGTTATTGTTGATGAGAAACTTAACTGGAGAAACCACATACAAGCCATTCACAGTAAAGTCAATAAACAGTGCGGTATCATGTATTACACTCGACAGTCACTCACTCTCACAGCAATGAAAGAAATCTCTCATGATCTTGTTTACCAACACCTGATACAGTACACTGTCACTGTTTTTGAAGAGCCAGAGGCTCTTCAAAAACACAAACCCTGGTTACTGCACAAAAGAGAGTTGTACGGACAATGACCTACTTGAAAAAGACAGATCACATAAACGAAAAATTTGCTTCATTGAAAATGTAAAAACTCGAAGATATTAACACCTACTGCTGTGCCCTCTTTGCTAACAAATCTATCAATCACTTGCTTGACATAATTATTTCCAGTTCCGGAATAATCAGAGATACAACTTAAGGCACCCAGAGTTACTAAGACCACCCTCCATGCGCTCCTCTCAGTCCCAGACCTCCATAAAATATCACAGTGTGAAGGTGTGGAACAACTTATCCCCACCCATCCGAGCAAAGACTATGCTCCCTTCCTTTGAATCATCTCTTTAAAAAATATATATTGTCTAAGTATTAATATATCTTGTAATACCTACTACATTTACAGTACTTGCTTTTATTGTACCATCAAAACCATTTTATTGGAAATTATCATGTAAATAAATAAGAAATTACCATTGCAATAAATATATCTGCCAACTAGACATAATCCTGACAGCTCTGTCCTCTTGTTCAACCTTAATACTGTACAACCCATGTTGTACTGCTTTCCCATTATACTTATGTTTTTAAATTTTACTGTAATTTATGAATATACTTATAATAAAAAAATAATAAATAAATAAAATAAATAAATATTAAGTGATAACCGGGATAACATTATGAGATGTTCATATTACCACCATGCTATTGTGCTATTCCAAATGTTACTAAATGTTACATAATACTTCCTTGAGATAACTGTATAAGATATATCAGGTGCCTACAGGAGAGCTCAGGTTCTCAACTGGCTCAGCCATGTTAATATTGTTATCATTATCCACTCTGTATCTGTGTTTTACTAGCTAAATAAACTATTTCAATTCAATAAACTGTGTCAATTCAATGCTATATCCAAACCTAACGCTAACGTAACCTAACCTAACTTAACCTAACGCTTACCTAACATAACCTAACACTAACCGAACCTATCCTAACGCTAACCTAACCTAACGCTAACCTAACTTAACCCTAACTTAACCTAACGCTAACCTAACATATCGTAACGCTAACTTACCCTAACGCTAACCTGACTTAACCTAACGCTAACCTAACTTAACCTAAAGTTAACCTAACTTAACCTATCGCTTACCTAATTTAACGTATCGCTAACCTAACCTAACCTTCCCTAACGCTAACCTAACCTATCCTAATGCTAACGTAACTATACATAACCCAACCAAATCTAAAGTGGCCTAACTTAACCAAACCAAACTTAACCCCCAGGTGGCATTCTAAGGTGGTAATCTTCATGAAATATGAACCTGCGATCCAAAATATCTTCTTTAACTGTTAGGTATTATGTGATAAATAACTGGGCCGGTATACACAAAACTTTTCTGCTACTGACATAATAGTTCTGTTAGCTGGCAGTAAAATTTAAAAGTTATAATGCACCAAGCTTAACTAGCAAACCTTTACCGTACAAACAGTTGTTTGTTAAGTACCGCTAAACAGCTCTAAGGATAGCAGGAGTTCACCATATAAAATGGTCTTATGGCTGAATATCCTCAATAAAATTATGAAGATTAATTTCAATATTTGCATTTATTTACATTCTGATTATTAAAATAAAAAAATCTATCTAATCTATGCAGTTTGAAGGAGGATATACAAACCAAGGATAGTGATCGGTGGCTTGGCCTTGCCTTGTTCTTTGTAAACAAACGTGTTATTGAGGAGCGGACAATATGAACATCACGGAAATGGAAGCCTCAAACCCACGAAAGAAAAGGAAGCCCAACTGGACAGCAGACCAGACTTTATTATTGGTGGAGGCCATTGAAGAGAAAAAGTTAATATTGAACGGCCGCTTCAAACCTTTCCTGAATAATAAAGACAAAAAGAGCGCATGGCTGGAAATCACCATGAGAGTCAATGCTGCTTTTTTTAATTTGTCTCCAGGTGAGTGGGAACTTCACAAGCTGACAAAAAATGTTTGGTTCAGTTTGTGCATTCAGTGTCTGAGTTATAGTGCGGCTGATAGTAGGCTGAGTGGTTCCAAAATCATCATTGCTACACAGTTGCATTCTTCCAGTCGCTAAATAACGCAAGGTTATGGCCACTTCCATCTCCGGGGTTAGAGCCCTATTCCTCCCAGTTCTGCTTTGTAGTGTTTCCCTCACTATATCAGTCACTGTCATGATACCTGCACAGTCCAGCCGGTATCGCATCATGAGTTCAGATTCGCTATATTCATTTAATATATCTCTCCTTCCCCCGATATATGTGTTGCCGCCGCTGGTGTTGTTGGTTCGCTATGGTATCAACTAACAGACGGCTAATACAGTACAGGACTTAAAAGTGCTCCAGGATTTTTTTAAGCTTAACAGAACTATTAAGGCCTTAAAAGTTTTGTGTATGTACTATTAGTGCTTAACAAGAAAATGTCAACCTTAACAACTGTTTGTTAGCACTTAAAAGTTCTCTTTACCGGCCCTGGTTGTTATGTTATCAATATGTCCAGTTGACTTTACGTTCATGACGACTTTAACTGGCACATGCAGTTTATTTATAACACGAAGGATGACAATCTAAAAAAAAGATGTCTATATGATACTGAGGCTAAGGTAAGTACCTATTTTGGATCACCTGATGATTATCACCCAACTTATTTTACCTGGTGATTAATCACCCTTCACCTACCTCCAGGGCATGGTTAGATTATGTTGGGTTTTGTTACGGTACGTGAAATTAGGTTGTTTTGGGTTAGGTTAGGTTAGGTTAGGTTAGGTTAGGTTAGGATCCTGTAGGTTAGGTTAGCGTCAGGGAGTTTAATCGCTTAGTGAAATATTGTAAGTTGGGAGTGGCTACTCTTCGCTTGATCTTCTTCACATAGGGATAGCAAGATTATTTTAAGGAACTTTATAGATAAAGGCTCCGGGATGCAGGTATAGATACAGTAACAACAACAACAATAACATTATCTTACTTACCACCTTAGACACGCGGGTTTTACTTGCTCACCTGATCACTAGGTAAGACAGACTGGCTGTGTGTGTGTGTGTGCGCGGGGGGGTGGGGAGTGACGTCACTGAGGACTGTATCCTTAGGTTATTCCAGGTAACTGCAGGTACGAGAAAAGATCTCTGCTCAAGGTACCAAGTGACATATAAACAGTGTATATATCCCACTTGTTATTTTTCTCTGTACACAAATTAATACTGAGTACTCCTCCCTTCTAACACTCCTCGGTATCAATTACTCGGTAGTCTCATTGCTTCTGCATACCTGAAAGGAGTTTGTGAAATCCGCAGTAGAAGGAAAAATGAGGGAGGAGAAGAAAGAGGAGGAGGAGGAGGAGGAGGAGGAGGAGGGTGTCTGGGACAACAATGGAGAAGGTCGACCCTGATGTCTTCTGATAAGGGGCTGTCACCTTCGTATGATCTGCTGGTTGGACACACACACACACACACACACACACACACACACACACCTTGTAAATTTTATTGAAGAAACTCAACAACACTCAAAGGGGAGTGATTTATTCTGAGATGTGATACGAATTACGGTAATAAATCTAAGGTTTCATAGGTACTTTTATACATATCATCTATGAATTAATATTATCTATTGATGTAAGTTGTGCGCATTAGTTAGTATGATAGACTATAATTATGCCATCACCAGCTTTAACATTAGTTAACCTGAGTTACAATAAGTGATATTGCAATAATTTGTCTCAGTATTTTATATTTCACAGTGATAATGTTTATCATCGTAAAATACGTAACTATTACTTAAAGATTCAAAGTTACAATTTCTTCGTCTGAGAGGAAGATTATGATACTCCAACACTGGGAATATCATGAAGGAATTAAAGGAGGAAGATCAGGTTCAGGGAATTGTTGTTCTTGGTTGCTCGTGCCCTAAACACGGGTCAAGATAACTCAAACAACACAGTATCTCTCACAACAAGAAAACAGTGAGATAAACAAACATATACTAGAATACATAAAAAAAATATAGATCACAATCGTCCAAATATGACAACACTGCGATACTTTTGACATATCTAAGAATACATGTCTGAGTAAGGAAGACATACTTCACCCAATGATGTAAAAACAATAAGTATAATCGACTAGAAATAAAGAAAAAAGAGTAAACGGATATACTGTAACTTCATACGCACCATACATCTCTAGTGTAAATACAGGCGGAAAACTGGTGATATCGAGCTCAATGGTAGAAGCAGAGGCAGCATGAAACTGTGTTTACCTGTGTTGCAATCTTCGCTCTGTGGAACTCAGGGGGAGAGAGGTACAGCCTCATCCTTTTGTTAGCATCCCTGGTGGATAGGTACATCCGTCGTCTCAGCTTAATTGTTTAAATGGAGTTTAATAATTACTAAGGTTCAGTTGGAGTTCGTAACCAATTAATTTATAAGACTTAAGTTATATTTGTACCTGTTTTTGAATTTGTATTGCTTTGAAAATGGTTCATGCCGGTAGTAAACGGTCCATACCTTCCCCATTGAGGAACTAGTGACGGCAGCGCTACACATAAAGTTACTGCTTCAAAAGCCAGCTAATCCATAAAATACTCGAAATTACTTAAACAATTCCCACGCTCAGACAATTTTGAATTACATATATACTTACGGGCAATCCTACATTAGTATTTAAATCAGAACTTCCATAGATTATAATATAGCACAAAAATATATGTTTGGCATGATCTTAAACGCTCGACACACAAGCACCGTATAAGTTGCTAATGATGGATAAATAATTCTTTTTTTACCCGATATCTAAATCGTTAAGGCTACTAGCATTTGGCTGGGTAGACCCGGTAGTGTCGTTCTGAGACGTCAAGAGGGAGGAGGTCATCAGATGTCAGTCAAACGGGAATTAACGGAGACGAAAATAAAGAGAGAAAGTGACATCTGGCCCCAGGAGACCTTCAGAGTCTTACGGCAACTGGACCATATTTGAGTAGTCCCGTAGTCTAGTCCTCTTTGTCTCGTCTCACTGCTTGTCTCGTCTCACTGCTTGTCTCGTTCTCATTATTTAGTCTCACTGCTATTCTTGTTCTCCTAATCTTGTCTCACTGTTTGTCTTGACCTAGTCTCGTCTCACTGCTAGTCTCGTCCTCTTAATCATGTTTCACTGCTAGTCTCGTCCTCCCAGTCTGGTCTCACGGCTAGTCTCATCCTCCTAGTCTGGTCTCACTGCTAGCCTCGTCCTCGTAGTCTGGTTTCTCTGGTAGTATCATCCTCCTAGTTTGGTCTCATTGCTAGTCTCGTCTTCCTAATTCTCGTCTCATTTTTAGTCTCCTCCCCCAGTCTCATCTCACTACTAATCTCGTCCCCCTCGTCTGGTTTCACTGCTAGTATCATCCTCATAGTCTGGTCTCACTGCTAGTGTCATCCTCCTTGTCTTGCCTCATTGCTAGTCCCATCTTCCTTGTCTTGCCTCATTGCTAGTCCCGATCTCCTAGTCTGATTTCACTGCTAGTCTCGTTCTCCTACTTTGGTTTCACTGCTAGTCTCTTCCTCCTAGTCTGATCTCATTGCTAGTCTCCTCTTCCTAGTTTGGTTTCATTGCTAGTCTCGTCCTCCTAGTCTGGTCTCACTGCTAGTAACATCTTCATAGACTCGTCTCACTGCTAGTCTCGTCCTCCTAGTCTGGTTTCACTGCTAGTAACATCTTCATTGTCTCATCTCACTGCTAGCCTCGTGCTCCTAATCTAGTTTCACTGTTAGCCTCTTCCTCCAAAGTCTCGGCTCACTGCTAGCCTCGTCCTCCTAGTCTAGCTTCACTGTTAGCTTCGTCCTCCAAGTCTCGGTTCACTGCTAGCTTCGTCCTCCTAGTCCCGTCTTACTGCTAGACTCGTCCCCCTAGTCTCGTCTCACCGCTAACCTCGCCCTCTTAGTTAAGTGATTCAGCATGATGACCCTCCCCAGGTTCCTCTAGCCGCCGACTGGCCTTGACTCTTCCTTGAAACTGACATTACCAACCGGGGGCATTACGTCATCAACTTGTGACGTCACGTGATCTTGCCGCTAATAAACAGTGACGTCATCATCCACCGAATCACATAACTCTGCTCTGTCGAGTTTAATAATCAAGTGTAGTCATATTTTGTATATATATTTAACTGTTTTTTCATAAGTCTATGATTCTTTTCTGTACTGATGCTTGATTTAGATCGAAACAGTGACATATAGGAGCAACTATCAGCTTAGTTCTGATATATACAGAACGACACTATAGGTAAGAGAGACGTGTGTGGACCTTGGTTCACGCTCACTCACTTGCCAGTCTTTAGTACGCCTCACAGACCAGAGTTACAGTACTCCAATTGAAGCAGCACTACATACTCATCAATACAACTATAAAGGACAGGAATGACTTACCTAATCGTATGTAATCCAGCAGTAGTATCAAATAATTAAAACAAAATAATTAAAGGTTGTATAGCTGATAAAGCCACGGCAAGGAAAAACAAACATTACATGCTGGCGACCTATGAATATTTTATTGTGGAAAATATTCACCAGCTTCGATTACTGCACTGTAACTGCGATCTAGCGCTTGAGAAATTTGAAGTAAAATATTTATACATCGTTTTTGTAGGTCTATTTCGATTTGATGACTCACCCTGTAAGGGGGAGGACACCTACCTGAAGGAGTTCCATCCTGAGGGCTTCATTTTCCCCCTTTAGAGTGTCAACCTCACTCCTCAACTGCCCCAGCTGCCTTAACAGAGTGGCAAGGAGGTCGTCTTTCCTCACACTCCCCTCCTCTTCCCCCAAGACACAACGATCCAAGGCGGCCATTTTCCTTGGTCTCTAACGGGAGCACTTGCGGGCACGACATTCTCCTCCTCCATCACCTCCTACAGCTGGATGAGTCAACGGACGTGAGTTCTTGTGCACAGCTACTAGTGTTTGTTAGGTATGTTTTCTTGTGTGACATCAAGGAGGAATATCTGTGCTGTACACAGCTCGAGACCACCACAACAGCTGTAGATGTGATGAAAAAGCTGTCTTCTTTCTTCACAGCTAGCAGGGTCAGCTGGGAAAATTGTTGTGGAGTCTGTACGGATGGGGCTCCGGCGATGCTGGGATCAAAATCGGGGTTCCAGAAGCGTGTCAAGGAAGTAGCTCCGAATGCCAAGGGGATCCATTGTATGTTCCATCGTTTTGCACTGGCGTCGAAAACCCTCCCTGATGAACTTTGCAAGATCCTAGAGGCAGTGGTCAAATGTGTCAACTTTGTGAAAGCTGGAGATCTGAACTCTCGCTTTTCCCAGAACACTTGTAGAGACATGGATTCAGGGCATGAAGCCCTCCTCTTCGGGGAGAGCTTAAGTTGTTCCTGGAAGTACAAGGGAAAGATGATCTATTAAGTCACTTCAATGAGGTGTTGTGGGAGCCACGTCTTGCATATTTAGCAGATATATTTGAGCAGCTAAACAGGCTGAATCTCAAGCTGCAGGGCAAGGACAGAGATGTGTTTCACCTCATGGATTGGCAAAGGAAAGTCAATGCAGGAAATGATGCCATGTTTGAGAATCTTTCAACTGTACTTGATGAGAATGTATATATATATATATATATATATATATATATATATATATATATATATATATATATATATATATATATATATATATATATATATATATATATATATATATATATATATATATATATATATATATATATATATATATATATATATATATATATATATATATATATGCTGATAACCACAAGGAAAAAGAAAACACGAAGTTCCCAAGCGCTTTCGTGTAATTCACATCTTCAGGGGTGAGTACAGACTAAGGAGAAGTACATAACAAGGTATATATATACAGAGGAGGGTGAGATCAAGTCCACAATGGTCAGGTATTAGGTAATGACCCTACTAATCTTCAAAAGCAGCAGCAGTCGGTAGTCAGGTCAGAGGGTAAGATGACCCAACCTTCTCACCTGGTTACAAATCTTCTTAATTACGAAATTATCCAGTTTGTACATACCATTACTCAAATTCATGTTGACTGATTCGGTATGTTTAATGAGACTGGATTCTATAATGTTCCTACTGTCAATTGAATTACAAGGTAATATTGAGGAGGCATTATCCCAGTCAATGCAATGCTTATTATCCCTCAAATGAACAAACAGAGCATTGGATTCCTGGCCTGTCCTAACACTATATTTATGTTGTTTAAGTCTAGTTACAAGATCTTTACCTGTCTGGCCTAAGTAAAACATATTACATTCCTTGCAAGGAACCTTATAAATGCAGCCACCTGTATTGTTGGGGGAGTTCTTGATTAACATTTGTTTAACAGTGCATGAGTTTTTAAATGCCACATTGACGTTCCAGGTTTTTAGTTGTAAAGGAATTTGAGAGAAATTTTTGTGAAATGGTAATACTAAGAGATTCTTATGGTCATGGGTGGGCTTGGGATCGGTTCTATAAAAAGATTTCTTAGTAATGTTAAGGCATTTGTCTATGAAAGATCTAGGGTATTTAAGGTTCAAGCCAATATTATAGATATATTTATATTCCTCATCAATGAATTCCGGGCTGCAAATTCTCAAAGCACGTAAAAACATTGATGAAAATACTGACTGTTTGACTCTATTATGGTGGGCAGAATAATAATGAATGTATGAACACACATTAGTAGGTTTTCTATAAATACTGAACTTAAAGGTGTTACCTATTCTGTGTATCAGACAGTCTAGGAATGGCAATTTACAGTCATGCTCTAATTCCAGTAAATTTGATCGAGGGAGCTAAGTTATTATGTTGTGGCAGGAAAGCTTTTAGGTCCTCATTACATGGCCAGAGACATAATACATCATCAACATATCTAAACCAGACTCATCAAACTTTGTATTCAGGATTGTAAATTTGAATTCAATGGAGAATATTATGCTCAAAAATTTGGTGTGGCAATGGGTAATCCACTCTCACCTGTATTAAGCAACCTATATATGGAATTCTTTGAAAAGAAACTATTAAGTAATATTTTACCACCCTCAGCAGTCTGGTTTAGATATGTTGATGATGTATTATGTCTCTGAACTTGTGGCTTCTTCAACTTTAAGCTGTAACCCCTAGTAGGGCGGGCGTCCCCAGTTGCAAGTTGTTTATAAACTTCTATTAAGTCACCCCTTGCCCGCCTGTGGTACATATAAGCTAGTTAATTGCAGGCGTTTTAACCTTTCTGGGTATCTGAGGTGCCATAGTGCAGACACCAGTCTGGTGGCCCTCCTTTGGACGTTTTCCATCTCTAGCAC